ATATTTTGTTTGGGGGGGGGGGTGCAGTTTCAGAGTTTTTCTCGGGAAGCGGTAGGCAATTCTAGGCTCACGACAGCAACGAAATCGAGCTTTGGTTGCTAAACGTTCATTCCCAGGCTAGCGATCCCCCTTTAGACAAGAGAAAACATAGGTGTCATGTCAACCCTGAATCAAAACTTCCGACCCGGCTCAGAGTCGAGGCGGTTTTTTAATATGTCCCTCTTTCGCTAAAAATCTCTCTCGGAGAAGAGCATTGCAGGAGAGCATGCTTCTCAACGGCCGATGTGCTTTTGTCGGCGAGGAGGGCGGCTCTACCAGCGCTACCGCGGCGCGCCGGCGCCCTGCAGCTCGCGCGGAAGCGGGTGACGGAGGCTCCTCGCCTTAGCTGCCAAGGCCCGACTGGGGCGGCAGCCCGCGAGGGAACCCGTCCTGCCTCTAAAGCCTCACCCCAAGACTCGTCAAAAGGCATACCGCGGAGGGGGGGCCGGTTTTTGGAGGGGCAAGCATTTACGGCCCTGCCACGTACTCTCAGAAGATAAACTGCGGAGAAACGTTACAGGGGAAGTTATTTCCCCCGGGTTCAGATGCTCGGAAAGTCTAGACGGCTGCAGGTCAAATGCCATTTTGCAAGGCCCAGAGGAGGCATCAGTTTTTTACGCCTGCCTGTGCCACTTTCTTATGGTTACTTTATTTTGATGACGTGCGATGCTTCTCCTTAATCCAAAACGAAGTGACTTGGAAAGGCTAAGGTGAACCCCCAAAAAGGGGGAGGTTTCAAATTCAAATCGCAAACTCGCTCCTTACCAGCATTAAGACGTCGCTGGCCAAAAGCGTTGATGTTCCTCACCCAAACTTTGCCCCAGTTTTACATTGTAGATCAACGAGTCGTGGCTAGATGTGAAACAATGAGGTAGTTGTCTTCTGTATGCCTTTCCCAAGCAACAAACGGTCTCACGGAGATCTTGCGGCAGAGAAGTGGTGGTACTACAGCTACAGGGAAGTTAAAATAGAGGAAGAACGGACACGTCAAGCTGAGCATACCAGGACTGATGACGTCATTACCGACAACATCCGCACTCTTTTCTCGCTTACTCAGGCAGCGCCGCTACCCACCGTTATCAGCGTCTATACCCCGCGCGCAGCAAACCCATCACCTTTTGGCCGTGCACGGGGCTGCTGAGGGGAACTACGCTTCCTTCTGTGCGTTTACGGCCTTTAAGAGCGGTCTTAAAGCTGTCAGCCGGCTGACTTCCACGGCGTCTAGACCCAGCCCCTCCTGAAGGTGGACGTCCCGGTGGGCGAGGTAGGCAGGCCTGTCCCGCAGCGACGTGCTAGTTTGGCTGGACTTATTCCTACGTTGAGACCTCGGCCTTCCCTCGCAGGCTTTGCTGCGTGCGCCACGTCGGCTGGGCCCGACAGGCCTAGGCGAGGTAGCTTTATTTCGGGTTGCGCTCTGGGACATCATGTTTCATCCTATTACGGGTGTCCCTTGTCTGCCTCGCCGAAAATTGGAAGCTTTTTGGGGCAAGGATTATTGCTTATTCTCCGCCGCGCAGCCCCTGCCACCGCAAGAGCCTTTTATGGTCGGTCTCTAGGCACTTCTGTCGTAAATGATGTACATCACGACGCTTCCTTCCTTACTGTTGTCTTTGATTTCGACCCAGCTGGGATTTTCAACTTGATCTGGACCCAGAGCAAGACTTTAGATTTTGGTTGATGGGGGAAAAAACAACCAAAAAACAACAACAACAACCACAAAAACAAAGCCTCCAGCAGCTCAGGTCTGCAGGGGAAGGTGGCGTGTTCGCTTCTGCCAGGATCAGGCTCTGCCCCGGGTTACCGGAGCCGTAACCGTCGCTCTCAGCAGAGCTGCATCCTGCAGCTGAGCAGGAGAGCGCAGCTAACAGCCCGCACCCTCCCTGGTAGGGGAAATATCTGTTCCTGCCGCGTGGGGAATCTCCCGGACAGTATTCCCGGGCCAGGTTGCTCCCATCGTGACGAAATCTCTTGTTTTTTTTTTTTTCTTTTGTTTTTTGTTTTTTTTAGGGCGCCTGAGCTGTTGGCCTCAGCGGGGTGAAGAGGCGCCGCTTTGCGTGGAGGACGCGGCGATGAGCGCGACGGCGGCGGTTTTTTGATTGGAAGGTGACAGAAACCCTCCGAGCCCTCGAGTGAAGCGATGGCCAACGCTCACCGCCCGCTGCTGCCCGCCAGGGCACGTTTATTGGGCGGCTCTGTGACTCACCCGCCCCGCGCT